CAATTTACTCAGGAGGTCTTGTCTTTTTCAACTTCCCATGTAGATTAGATCTATGCAAGTCTTAGTGTCCTCATTGTTGTCTCTAAATTCTCTGGGATTGTAGTTTGTAGGCTGGTTTTCTTTTTCTTTTTTTTTCTTTTCTTTCCGATTCAGGGTTTCTCTGTAGCTTTGGAGCCTGTTCTGGAACTCACTCTGTAGACCAGGCTGGCCTCGAACTCACGGAGAACTGCCTGCCTCTGCCTTCCAAGTGCTGGGATTAAAGACATGCGTTACCGCCGCCTGGCTGTAGGCTGGTTTTTTTGGTAGAGGGTATTTAGGTTGTTTCTAGGTTCTGACTATGACAAACAAAGCTGCTATGAACATAGTTGAACACATGTCCTTGTGGCATGATTGAGCATCCTTTGGATATATACCCAAAAGTGATATCTCTGGGTCTTGAGAAAGGTTGTTTCCTAGTTTTCTGAGAAATCGCCACACTAACATCCAAAGGGGTTGTACCAGCTTGCATTCCCACCAGCAGTTCAGAAGTGTTCCCTTTTCCCCACAACCTCTCCAGCATAAGCTGTCATCAGTGTTTTTGATCTTGGCCATTCTTTCAGATGAAAGATGGAATCTCAGAGTTGTTTTGATTTGCATTTCTCTCATGACTAAGGATGTTGAACATTTCCTTAAGTGTCTTTCAGCCGTTTTAGAGTCCTCTATTGAGAGTTCTCTGTTTAGGTCTGTACTCCATTTTTTTTTATTGGATTATGTGATCTTTTGGTGTCCAATTTCTTGAGTTCTTTGTATATTTTGGAGATCAGACCTCTGTCTGATGTGGGGTTAGTGAAGATCTTTTCCCATTCTGTAGGCTGTCATTTTGTCTTGTTGACCATGTCCTTTGCTTTACTGAAGCTTTTCAGTGTCAGGAAGTCCCATTTATTAATTGTTTCTCTCAGTGTCTGTGCTGCTGGGGTTATGTTTAGGAAGTCGTCTCCTTTGCCAATGCATTCAAGTGTACTTCCCACTTTCTGTTCTATGAGGTTCAGTGTGGCTGGCTTTATGTTGAGGTCTTTGATCCATTTGGACTTGAGTTTTGTGCATGGTGATAGATATGGGTCTATTTTCATTCTTCTACATGTTGATATCCAGTTATGCCAGCACCACTTGTTAAATATGCTTTCTTTTTTTCCATTTGATATTTTTTACTTCCTTGTCAAAAATCAGATGTTTGAAGATGTGTGGATTGATATTCGGGTCTTCTATTCTATTCCATTGGTCCTCCTGTCTGTTTTTATGCCAATACCAGGCTGTTTTCAGTACTATAGCTCTGTAGTAGAGTTTGAAGTCAGGGATTGTGATGCCTCCAGAAGTTCTTTTATTGTACAGGATTGTTTTGGCTATCCTGGGTTTTTTGCTTTCCATATGAAGTTGAGTAGTGTTCTTTCGAGGTCTGTGAAGAATTTTGCTGGGATTTTGAAGGGCATTGCGTTGAATCTGTAGATTGCTTTAGGTAAGATTGCCAAATGTTTTCCTTTTAAAGGGTTGCTTATGGTGTCTCTTCACAGCAATAGAACATTGACTAAACCACTTGGGCAACTTAATCAAGATCTTGTTTCAAAAACAAAAGTAACTAAATACAGGACTGATGCACAGGCTTGTAACCATAACTACTCGGGAGAAGGCAGGAAGACTGCAAGTCCAAGTCTTGCCTGGGCTACAGAATGAGTTCAAGGCCAGTCTGGACATTTAATGAGATTCTGTCTCTAAATAAAAAATACAAAAATGACCAGGTATGTAACTCAGTGGTAGACTGTTTACCTAGCATATATGAGCTCCTGGGTTTAATTTCAAGTACTGAGGGAAAAAAGCTGGGAATATGGCTCCGTTGGTAGAGTGCCTGTTCAGTGAGCATATATCCCCCATAAACAAGGGATGGTAGCTTGTTGTAAGGAGGCTACTTGTTGGTTCCTGGTTGCCAAGACTCCCGAAATAACCACACAGAAACTCTAGCTTCTTATTTGTTAACCCTTATATCTTAATTTAACCCATCTCCATTAATCTGTACATCACCACGAGGTCTGGCCTACCAGCAAAGTTTCAGCATGTCTACCCCGGCATGACTTCTCTTCAACTCCGCTTCCCTCTCCCAGCATTCAGTTTAGTTTTCCCCACCTAGCTAAGTTCTGCCCTGCTGAAGGTCCAAAACAGTCCTTTATTGACCAATGGTATTCACAGCATCCAGAGGGGAATCCCACATCAGTAGCTCACAGTTGCAAGCCCAGAACCCTGGCAGTGGAGGCAGGAGGATCAGAAGCTCAAAATTATCTTTAGCATGAGCTGGAGTGATGACTCAGCAGTTAGGAGCAATTTCTGCTCTTACAGAGGACCTGAGTTTAATGCTTAGTATCCTTGTCATAATCACCTGTGCCTCTGGTTTCAGAGGATCTAATGACCTCTTCTGGCCTCCTTGGGCACTGCTCTCTCTCTCTCTCTCTCTCTCTCTCTCTCTCTCTCTCTCTCTCCAACCATTTTAACTAACTTAAGGATAAAGAAGTTTATTTTGCCTCACAGTTTAAAATCATGGTCCATGGCAGGGAACGCTTGGTGGCAGGAACATGAGGCAGCTGATCACATTGATTCCACCGTCAGGAAGCAGAAAGGGATGAACACTGGTGCTCAGCCAGATTCCATCTTTTCTTTCAGTCTGGGACCCCAGGCTATGGGATGATACCCCCCACATTCTGGGCCTTCTTCCCCCCTCAACCTTCTAATCTAGAAACTTCCTCACAGCCATACCCAGAGGTTTGTCTTCATGGTGATTCTAGATTCTGTCAGGTTGACATCGGTATTAACCAGCGCAGGTAGAAATGTGAAAAATAAGATGATAGGAACAAAACTGAGCCTAATAGCATCCACTGTAGACAAATTGGTGGTAATTGTTTGTTGATTATCGTGTTGAGTTAGAAAGAAAAAAAAAATCTCAGGCATTAAGGAGATAACTCAGTGGTTAGAGCTCTTGTAATACAAACATGGCAACCAGAGTTCAGATCCCCCCAAGCCCAGGTAAACACCAGATGCCTTAGCACATGCATCTGTAATCCCAGCACTCATACGGGGAGATGGCCGGCAGAGGAGACTCCCTAGAGCTCATGGGTCAACAAGTCTGTTGTGTTCAGCAGTGAAGTGTAGGAGTGATCCTGTCTCAAACAAGGTAGAAGGCCATGACTGACATCTGAGATTGTCCTCTGACTGTCACACGAACACCGTGGCATGTGTGTACCCACACTTATACACGAGCAGAGGGGAAAAGAGATCTAGCAGCATGGTATTTTTAAGAAAAGGAAGCTGCTTGTGGTAGTTCTTGACTGTAATCCTGGCACTTGGGAAGCCGAGAACGGAAAATGGCAGGTTTGGGATATCCTGGGACCTGGAGAGATGGCACAATGGCTGATAGTGTTCGCCGTTCTTTTTGAAGCTTATTAGATGATACGTACAGCAAAGTCGTAATTAAACACATCTGCACTAACTGTTCTTGCAGAGGACCCAGGTGTAAGGACCCGGTTCTGCACCACCCTCCTCCCGGTATGGTTTGCACGCCTTCCGTACCTACCACGAGCTTGGGCGAAGGCCTGGGGATTGAACAAAAGACACACACAAAGAGACCTGGGTCATTCGTCAAGAAATAGCCGAATGCCACTTTATTTAGCAGAATGTAAGGCTAATATACCTATGCCCCAGTAAAGGAATTCCCACCCAGCCAGGGGGGCGAGGGGAACTGGGCCTTGTGTGTATCTTCCCAGGCAGGGGGTGGAGAGCAGCGACAGACAGTGGAGAGGGACCTTGGCGCTGAGTGATTCTCCTGGGCAGGTGGGAAATTGCCATACCAAAGATAAAACAAAGCCCTAGGCTAATTCACCAGGCTAGCAGAGTGAGCACAAGAATTAGCAGGAAGCTTTAGCTGGCTGGCCAGAACTGTCCTCAGAGACACACCCCAGGGAGTAAGGGGAGACAGGGCCCAACACCCAGACTCAGTTACCAGTACCCATATGGAAGCTACAGTTTCAAAGGATCTTCTGGCCTCAGCAGGCACTGCATACACATAGCACACATACATGTATGTGCGCAGATACTCATATAGAAAGTGAAAATTTTTTAAATGTTGTTTTGACATAGAGTCTTACCATGTAGTTCTGGATACCAAAACTCCCAAAAGTCTGCCTGCCTTCTGATTAAAGGCATGCATCACCAAGCCCTCAACATTTTTTAAACAATCAAACAGGTGTGGTGGCTCATGCCTTTAATCCCACTACTCAGGAGACAGAAGCGGGGCGTCTCTGAGAGTTTGAGGCCAGCCTGGTCTATAGAGCACATTTCAGGACAGCCAGGGCTGTTCCACAAAGAAACCCTGTCTTGAAAAACCAAAAAAAAAAAACAACATATTTTTGAGGTCTGGAGACCTTCACAGGTACTAAGCATACGTGTGGCACACACATTTAGTCACAATATTCATATGCATAAAAATAAACTGTAAGATTAAAAAATACTTTATTTCTGTGTGTGTGAGAGTGAGTTTATATGTATTATATGCATTCTTGGTGCCCACAGAGGTCAGAAGAGGGTGTTGGATCTCCTGGAACTCAAATACGGATGGTGGTGAGCTGCCATGTGGGTGCTGAGAATGGAACCCAGGTCCTTTGGAAGAGCAAACAATGCCCTTAACTGCTGAGCCATCACTACAGCCAGGGAGACAGGTCTTCCAGTGAACCTAGAGCTAATCTATGCTTGGTTTCCAATGGACTTCAGGGATCTGCCTGTCTCCATCCTCAGTGCTGGAGTTAGACATGCTCTATGTGCCCAGGTGAACGCTAAGGATCCGAACTCAGGGCCTCAGGCTTTGATGCATAAGTGTAGTGTTTGCTCTGCAAAAGGGTCCATATGGGAGCCGAAGTCATCTACCTCTTCTGTGCTGAGAGTCACCAATGGATGGGTCTCTTTGTGTTTTCCCTTTCTGATCCTAGGCAACAGTTTGCAGTGTAAGCAGTTCAAGCCCATGTGGGGCAGATGAATTCCAATCTGATACCTTCTGCTGCCAATTATGTCCCGCTGGTGAGTTCCAGAATGCTTTCTAGAACGTTCCACAAGGCTGGCCTTCTGCTGGGAAAAGGTGCTATAGGCCTTTACCTAGGGCTGAACTGGAGACTGCATGGAGAGAGGTGTAATCTGACAGAAAAGGGGAAGTGGGTGTCTCCTTAGCAATCAGCTGCTCCTTGTCCTCCTATCCACCCCTCCCCTACCTAAGCAACTGCCCCTGGCTTTGGAGGACAGAAACCAGAGACTGTGCCTGTCCAGAGGTGGGCATGGCATGCTCTACAGAAGAGCAAGGAGATGCTTTGTCTGCTCCTGGACCCCGCCCTCCTCCCACACAACTATCAGCATGCATCTGTGTGAATACATAACTAGTCTTTCTCTGTCCTGCCGGTCGGCTCCCAAACAAACTACAGAAAGACTTCTCGTTATCTGTTAATCTACGCTCTACCGTGTGGCTCTTACCTCCATCCCACTCTGTGTGTTCAACTCATTCTGCCTCTGACTGCCTTGTCCCACATCTCCGCCCTTCTACTTCCCAGCGCTCTCTCTGTCCCCAAAATCCTGCCTAGCTATTGGCTGTTCAGCTTTTTATTAGACAAATCCAAGTGACAAATCTTCACAGTGTCCAAAAAAATTATTTCACAGCACGCATCCCTACCCGCAAGCACACCTACGCATGCACTTGTATCCACACAGGTCTGTGGACACCCATTTGGGTCTGTATACACACCTGCACACACTTGCGGGTACACAGCCGTGGCGGGGGGGGGACATCCCTACCAGCATATTGCAGAAATAGTGAGATGGGACTGATCTAACTGACTGCTATGGGAGCCGGCACATGTGCAGAGCTCATACTGCTAAGTGTGCGGCTGTCTTTCCTGTGCTTCTGCCATAGGCTGAGAAGATGGTCACAGTGTAACTGATGTGGTGGGGACCTTGGCCAAGGATCCCATCTTTAGACTTTGGAGTTCTGTGAAACCATCATGGCAGCAACCTGGCATGAGAGGGGGAAATGGACGCATAGGCCTCTTGTAAGCCAGCTCTCTAGGACTGTGGAGTGGAGTAGAAGAATGTGCTTGCTCGGACACCCAGCAGGACATCAGTCTCAGCCAAGGACTAACACAGGGCCTCCATACATTAAGTTTAGTATGAAGACTGTGGTTGGGTATCCAACTAGAAAGTTCCAAGGAGGCTGGAGGCCCAGGAGTGGGTACTATGAGGAGGTCTGGCCACCAAGGCTTCAGGGACCAGGGCTTTGCTAGGCCCCCAAACACCTTTCTCCTCTCACATAGGCACCTACGTCCTTAAGCCATGCCAGAGGGACCATGGTAAGAGCGAATGCGTCCCATGTGAACCTGGATACTTCATGACGCACAATAACAGTGAACTTGGCTGCTTTCAATGCTCTCAGTGCCGGAATGGTAAGTGTGGAGCTGTGGCCGTGAGGGCAGCCTCTCCACTGATAGTTAAAGCAGGTAGACTCACAGGGGGAGGAGCCACAGGTAGATAAAGAAGAAGGCAAACTCTGGCTTCTTCACACTCTTTACCAGACACAAAGGCCCAATGAGCTTTTTTCTCCCTCCTCCCCCTCTTAGGGTTGGGAGCACTGTTCCATGGTAGAACGTTTCCTTGAAGGGAAGCTTTGGGGCTGGGTACTCCTCCCATTCCTCCCATTCCTGCTGTCCAGTTCGAAACTCTGTGGAAGGAAGGAAAGGAAGGCAGGTTGTTGTGTTTGTGTGGTCCCTGTGTTACACGACAAGGTGAAGGAAGATTATGTGCCTAGGATTAAGAGCCTGGGAAGATGACCTAACTGTGTCGTAGAACGCTGCACACTGGGACAGACTCCCACCCTGGTGACTGACTTGCAGCCACCCTGTTTCCATAGACCAAGAGGAGGTGGCCGCATGTTCTCAGATGGCTGATCGTGAATGCCAGTGTAAGCAGGGAACCTACTGTAACTCTGAAAACTGTGTGGAGAAGTGCCTTCGGTGCAGCAGGTACCAGCTAGGGGAGGGACAATGAGTATAGATCCCCACTCCTGCCCCCTAGTCCCCTAGTCTTACTGTAGAGGGGCTCCTTAGGGTAGCGCCTGCCATACAGATGAACTCAAACAAAGGATGCTTCCTCCTGGAAGCTGCCTGGAGTCAGTGCTCATTCATTCATTCACTCACTCATTAACTCACTCAACAAACAACCTTTGGGCCCCAACAGTGAGAGACACAAAACGGAGATACAAACATAGCATAAGACCACTAATATGAACTGGGAATGAAGTTATGTTGATAGAGGGTTTGCCTACCATTTACAAGGCCCTGAGTTCCACCCCCAAAACTGCATAAACCGGGTGTGGTGCTATAGCCTGGTGATCTTGGGGAAGTAGAGGCAGGAGGGTCAAGGTTAACTACATGGCAAGTTTAAGGTCAGTTTGGGATAGAGATATTGCCTGAAAAAACACTACTGGTGATGAGTGAATCATGACCCTGGGGGCCACTGCACACTCAGTTGGAAAAATCAAAAGATTACTTTTGGGTAGAGGCTCAATGAATCAGGGAGGGATGAAATCACAGAAAGTTCAGGGGGAAAGAACTCTAGGCAGAGAGGATGACAAAAGTGACTTACTGTTAATTTAGAGCGGGGAAGGAGAGCTAGAGAGATGGCTCAGGGCTAAGATATGATCTGCTTTTCTAAGGAACTGAGTTCAGTTCACTGCACCCACCTCAGGAGTCCCATAATAGCCGGTAACTCCAGCTCTAGGGAACCGGATGCCCTCTGCTGGTCTCGTGGACATCTGAGCTCACATGCACATGCACGCACATCTGAACATAAAATAAACTTTAGAAAGGAATTCAGTGGAACCAGGAGTCTAGCTCAGTGGGTAGAGTGCTTTTATAGCACACACAAAACCTCGGACTCAGTCTCTAGCACCCCATATACCAGTTATGATGTCTATAATCCCAGTGCTCGTGGAGGCAGGATGACCAGAAGTTCGAGGTCATCTTTGGTTACATAATGAGTTTGAGGCTAGCCTGGGCTACGTGAAATTCTGCCTAAAAAAAAAAAGTAAAAAAGAAATCTGGTGGCCACCTAACAATGACCATAAGCAGGGAATGAAAGCAGAGAGTTATTCTTGTATGGTTCTGGAGTCAAGAAGTCCAACATCGAAGGTGTTCACAGGTCCTCACTGCCTCTGAAGACTCTAGGTCAGTGCTTCTCAACCTTCCTAATTCTGTGACCCTTTAATAAAGTTTCTCATGTTGCAGTGATCCCTAACCATTAAATTATTTTGCTGCTACTTCATAACTGTAATTTTGCTACTGCTATGAATCATAATGTAAATATCTGATGTGTGTGATAGCTAATATATAACCCACGTAAAAGGGATTGAGACTCCCAGGTTGAGAACCACTGCTCTGGGAGTCTCTTCCCTGGCCTCTTCTATCTTCTGGTGGTGGCAGTGATTGCTGACATGTCACTCTAGTTGCCACCTCCCTCTCCACGTAGACTTTGCTCCTGTGCATTTGTCTCTGTTTCCCTCTTGCAATCAAGTGACCCTAATCACTTGGTTAAGACCCATCCTAACCCAGTGTGACTCCGATTTTACTTAACGTCATTTGCAAAGACCCTGTTCCAAGCAAGGTGAAGTTCCAAGGCTTCAGGCACACGTGAGCTTGGGAGGACATTTTTGGGAGGTATCTATAGCAATGAGGCCTCTTGTATAATAGCTTAAATCTGTTATTTGTTTGTTTATTATGTGCATAATGTTTGCCTGCATGTCTGATGCCCATGGAGGTCCATAGAGGATCGTGGATTCCCTGGAACTATAGTTGTAGGTGGTTGTGAGTCACTGTATGGATGCTGGGACAAAAACCTACTTTCTCTAGAAGAGCAACTAATGTTCTTAACCACCGAGCCACCATCTCTACACACACACACACACACACACACACACACACACACACACCCCTTTGAAACTGGGTCTCACTGGCTAGCCTGGAACTCACTATGTAGACCAGACTGGTTTGAGCTCACAAGAATTTACCCGACATCTGCTTCCCATGGCCTGGGATCAAAGGTTTTCACCACCACACCAGGCAACAACTTGCATCTGTGAGGCAGGTTAGATACCCGTGAACATAACTCAGAAAACACTGAACTGTGTGAGTAAAGACTGCCTTCAACTCCAGTTTGACGCAGGCTCTTGATGGTCTGTACATGTTTGCCTCTTCCTTGCTCACACTGTCTTTGTCTCTAGGCAAACTTCTCTCTATGTGGAGGGACAGCAGGTCAGGTCTTCATAGCTGGACATTCTATCCAGGAGGGCAGAGGGTCTTTCCCTAAATATAACAGACACCCCTAAACTCTAATCTCTTCAGAGTGCTTTTGCCAGAATGGCAAGGCGTAGCAGGGCCATGCTGGGATGGGGCTGGTCCTTTTTAACCCTGTGAGTAGAGAAGAGTTCTGGGCTGCCTGGGTGGGAAGTAACACACTCCTCCACTTTCCTTCCAGATGTCCAAATGGCAGAGTCATCAGGCAGTGCAACGCCGCGATGGACACACTGTGTGACACGTCGGATTCAGAGTCAGGTAAGGTGCTGTCTCCTAAACTCTCATTAAAAATGTTCACGGACTGGGTGGTGGTGGCACATGCCTTTAGTCCCAGTACTCGGGAGGCAGAGGCAGGCAGATCTCTGAGTTCAAGACCAGCCTGGTCTACAGAGCCAGTTCCAGGACAGCCAAGGCTATACCGAGAACCCCTGAATCAAATACCTTTTCCCAAAAAATGTTCATTGGTGTACTGGCTAGTTTTTTATGTCAACTTAAAACAGACTAGAGTTATAGGAAAAGAGATTCTCGACTGAGAAAATGATCTCCCACCAAATTGGCCTGTAGGCAGTCCTATTTAGCATTTTCTTAATTAGTGATTGATGTGGGAGGGCTCAGCACACAGAGGATGATGCCACCCTGGGGTAGGTGGTCCTGGAGTTTATAGGAAAGCAGACATAGCAAGCCATGAGGAAGAAGCCAATAAGCAACAATCCTCCACGGCCTCTGTAGCATTTCCTGCCTCCAGATTCCTGCCTTATTTCCCGGGAAGATGGTCTCAAACCATAAGCTGAAACAAACCCTTAACTCACCAAATTGCTTTTGGTTATGGTGTTTTACCAAAGCAATAGAAACCTAAGCTAAAACAGCTGAGAAGGTGACATTGGTATTTATAGTTACTACTAAACTCTACCACAGTAGAGAAAATAGCCAGAGGTTAAGAACAAATGACTGTGTTTGGCCATGTGCCAATCAAACTTTACAAAAGCAAGCCATGGGCTGGCTAGATTTTGCTTGGGAACTGCAGGTCAAGAATCTTGTCTTTGGGGTGCTGGAGAGATGGCTCAGAGGTTAAGAGCACTGATTGTTCTTCCAGAGGTCCTGAGTTCAATTCCCAGCAACCACATTGTGACTCACAACCATCTGTAATGAGATCTGGTGCCTTCTTCTGGCCTGCAGGTACACATGCAGACAGAACACTGTAAACAAAATAAATAAATCTTCAAAAAAAAAAAAGAATCCTGTCTTTGGGCTGGAGAAATGGGTCAGCCATTATAGGTTAGGCTCAAAACCCAAAATGTAAGAATCTGTCTTAGTCAGCAAACAAAATCCCAGAGTCGAGCTGCAGCGACCCCTCCTGGTACTTCAGTCTCAAGTACCAAGGTCTTTGTGAGTCCGGGCCTTCTATTTGTGTATCTGTCACCAACTGTTTCACGGCAGGTCCTGATGTCCAAGGGCTCAAACCCTCTTTTTCCTCCTTCTATAATGTAGTCTGAACACCTGAGAGCTGTGATGTGTCGCTTTACCTTTCAAATTCAGCTTGTCCATTTCCACAGAAAGTTTTTTGTGTATTTATGCATATGTGTAGTGTGTTTATGTATGTGTAAATGTGTGCGCATGTGTGCATCTGTGTTGGAAGTCAGAAGCTGACATTGTCTTCTTCCATTGCTCTCTCTTTTATATGACTTATTTTTAACATATGTATGTACACACAATGTAATGTGCAAGTATATGGATTAATGCTGTGTGAGCAGGTGCCCGCTGAAGCTGAAAGAGGATGTTGGGTGTCCCGCGCTACCGTCTTGCCCGCAAGAACGACGCGGGGCACTTAGGATTCTTCTGCAGTAAAGCTTTAATGCGTCTTGAGAGGGAGAGCATCAGCTTCCAAAGCGGAGACCCAGAATGAGGGGAACTTATAAAGGAAACAGTCCTCGCTTCTGACGTGTCACTCTTGGATTGGTCCGCTGCCCATTATCCCAGGTAGGCAGGGACGCAGCAGTAGAGAGTTACCAAGCACATGCACTGGGATTAAAGGCATGTGCTACAACACCTTGAGGTCACAGAGGTCAATCTTGAGATCTGCCTGTCTCTGCCTCCCAGGCATTGGGACCAAAGGCGTGTACTACCACACCTTGAGGTCACAGAGGTCAATCTGCCTCTGCCTCCCAGGCATCAGGACTAAAGGCGTGTACCACCACACCTTGAGGTCACAGAGGTCAATCTCTACCTTTGTCCCTTGAAGCAATGGAGAATGTGGTTACAGCCCTCCACATATCCCCCTTTTTTTACTTCTTTGCAGAAAGGCAACTCCCTCAGAAGGTAAAGATAGAGGTCGCATTTCCCAGAGCGAAAACATTACAATGGGCTTGAACGGAATCTGCCCCTAGGTTCATGACACCTGGAACCTATCCGGCCTGCCCTCTGCCATTTTTCTGGGAAAGGGAATATACAACAGGAAACCCTTATGCAGGGCGACATATCTCTCAGAGAGGGCCATTCTCCGTGTGATGCTCTTCAGCTCGACAACCTTCAGGGCTAGCTAAGCCAAGCACTCCACCCTGTGCAATGGACCACTGTCCTAGGGGTGCAGGAGCTGGTTGGCATAAACCTTACTGCTTCAGCATAGATAACCAAACATCAGTAGAGGCCCCTGTTCCAGGGCAGCCAGCGCTGTGCAATAACCACTTTGTCCCTACGATTTTGGGATTTGAGTCAGCAGACCATCCAGAGGAGAAACACTATTCCACAGCATAGGGCTGCTCCAAAACATTTCCACCCCCACCCATTCTTTGAAGTAGGGGATGAAAGACACAACCCAGGACTGGAATCCTACGGTCAAGCTTATAAATAATCTCTAGGAAGGTAGGGGGGCCCCAGAGTCTTATTGGTTGTAAAAAATCGAGGAAACACTGCCATCCTATGGCTGACTGGTAACAGCTTCGGGAAAGCTGAGAGTGTCCTCCATCGGTACTCTGTCATCCATCCGCAAAATGGCCGGAGGAACAGCAGCCAGGTCCTCAGGCGAATCCGCGTGTTGTGGATCACTCTTCACTCTTCGGGTCAATCGCTCTGGCAGCCAGAATGGGCTTTCTTGATCCTGTGGGAAGACACAAACAGCTCCCCTGGATCTCAATAAAATGGGATCCGGGCCTTTCCATTCATTAGAAAGCACGTCTTTCCACTTAACCAAATCTTTGGGCCGCTGCGGATCCGAACAATGTCGTGTTGCAGCATTATGGGCATTATCATCCAGATTTAAAAAATTTATGGTGAACAGAGCCATGGAATGGCCATTTTTGGCGTTGGTGGCAACTCCTTCATTATTCCCCCTTTTTTTGTTTTTAACAAGAACTGGTATCGATATAGGCCATGCCCTTGTCATTGTTTAGAGGGTTATCCTTGTTACTTTCTCATCAAGTATTTTTTTGGTCCAATTTCCTAGAAGATAACTAGACAAATGCTTAATAATCAGTCATTGCATCTGGGATTGCAGGGGCGCAATTCTCCAGCTGCATCAAGAAGTCTACCAGAGGTGTGTTGGAAACTATGGACTTTTTTGCCACAGTCACAGATTTAGCCAATGACCCATTCACCTTAAAAATCTAAGGGCTTTTTGCATCTACCTCCCTGTGGATCCTGAAACATTAGATTTAAAACCAAATAGTTGTAAGCTGCCATGTGGTCGCTGGGGAATTGAACTCAAGACCCTTGGAAGAGCAGGCAGCATTCTTAACCCCTAAGCTATCTCTTCAGCTCCTTTTTCAGATGGAAAATCTCTCAGGGGCTAGTAGCCGGCATTGTTCACCCCGCCCGTTGCCCCAGGCTATTGGTCCACCTTTGTTACCTAGGATATGGGTAACCATGTTGACGCGCTTTTATTATGATAATTACGACCAGTCCTGCCTGAAGTCAACACAGTTCAGCTTAGCCACGTGGAGCAGGAGCCACTCCAGCCTCAGAGCCCCTCACAGTTTCAGGCACATTGCAAGCCTTCTGGCCTGGCAGCTTGTGGCACCGCTCTCATTCTTGGTACTGCTTTGACACCCTCCAGGCCAGGCACCGACTGAGTCGGCGCAACGTGCCCCCCACCATAGCCACCTAGCAAAGCTCCACTCTAGCCACCCTCCAGCCGCAGCTGCATTCATTCCGAGTCCAAACTGGTGCACGGAGTAAAGCAGAACTCAGAGAAGCAGGCTTGCTGCTCGGCAACCATTGAAAGGACCTCACTTAAACAATCTTTTAGGGAATTTGGGCGTTGTTAGTCTCTCTGGCTACTTCCTGCTGAATTGGGCCATTGCATTCTTAGGGGTATTTACTACAACATTTCAGGAGGTCTCGGTGATTCATACCACATAAATCCCAAGTACACCTTTAGGCTCTCATTTTCTGTGGAGACGAAAGCAGAACCTCTTTTCCAAAACATCATATCCTTAGGCCCATATTTTAAATTTAAAATACCTTTTTTAGCAGTTTCTAAATTCAAATATCTTTCTCCTGTCCAGTACACAAAAGACAACACAAACAACATAACATATATCTGTCCTTTTTTCTTATTGTTGGTATCAGAAAGCTTTTGACCTTGTTGATCAGTCTCCCCCATTCTTAGAACCACCGGGGGGTCCTTTTTCCTTATTTTCTTTTCTTGCGCGTGCGCCTAACCTCTCACTGCACTCAGTTTCTGATATGCTATCCTGGACTTCCTCCACTTTTGCAACAACCGCCTTGCAGGATTCATCTTCTAAGCACTTTCAAAGTGATAAGAGACTTGCTAAGAAGTACCGAGGCCTCTACGAAACCTTTCCAAGGCGGGGACAAGTCAAGCCCAAAATCGAAAAATCCAGGCATAGTCATACCTCTCTGAGCATGCAGACCTGCAGTTCTGAATCCTCCTTGTATCCAAGGGGTCTCCGGCGGTGCGAGCAGTTGTCAGGGTCCCCCGGCGTCCCGGGTTTCAAGCACCAGATGCCCCGCGCTACTGTCTTGCCCGCAAGAACGACGCGGGGCACTTAGGATTCTTCTGCAGTAAAGCTTTAATGCGTCTTGAGAGGGAGAGCATCAGCTTCCAAAGCGGAGACCCAGAATGAGGGGAACCCAGCCCTTATAAAGGAAACAGTCCTCGCTTCTGACGTGTCATTCTTGGATTGGTCCGCTGCCCATTATCCCAGGTAGGCAGGGACACAGCAGTAGAGAGTTACCAAGCGCATGCGCTGGGATCAAAGGCGTGTGCTACAACACCTTGAACTCACAGAGATCTGCCTGTCTCTGCCTCCCAGGCATTGGGACCAAAGGCGTGTACTACCACACCTTGAGGTCACAGAGGTCAATCTGCCTCTGCCTCCCAGGCATCAGGACTAAAGGCGTGTACCACCACACCTTGAGGTCACAGAGGTCAATCTCTACCTTTGTCCCTTGAAGCAATGGAGAATGTGGTTACGGCCCTCCACAGTTGGGTCCTCTGGAGCTGAAATTAGAAGGGGTTTTGTTGGGTTCTCAGGAAGAGTAGCTTGTGCTGTCAGCCACTGAACCAACTCTCCAGCCCCTTCACCTTATGTCTCTCACTGAACTTGGAGCTTACCAATTTGGCCAGATTGGCTTAGACAATGAGCTCCAAGGATCTGCCTGTCTCTACCCTTCCACTCCAGTGCTGAGGTGCAGATGTGCACTGTGTGGGTACTGTGGATGCAAACCCAGATGCTCTTGTGTGTGGCCTGAACTTTACCAACCAAGCCACCTCCACAACTCCTAAAGAAAGTTTTCATTAAAAGCTACAAGCAGGAGGGGGTTGGATATAAGGGTCTGGGGTTCAGAGCACATGCTCTTGCAGGGAACCTGGGTTCAATCCCAGCACCTATGTGGTGGCTCACAACCATTAGATGCCCTCTTCCGACCTCTTTGTGCACTAGGCACATACATGGTGTACATATATACATACAGGCAAAACAGTCACACACATAAAAAAATCCTGCAAGGAGGGGCTGACAAGAAGTCTCAAAAGATAAAAGCTCTTGCCATTTGGGCCTGGCAACCTGGGTCCAATCCCCAGAACCTGAAACCCACGTAAAAGTGAATGGAGAGAACAAACCAAAAAAAGTTATCCTCTGACCTCCATACACATGACATTAAACTGTTTATTTGTTTTTAAAATGGGGCTAGGGGGCTGGAGAGATGGCTCAGAGGTTAAGAGCACTGCCTGCTCTTCCAAAGGTCCTGAGTTCAATTCCCAGCAACCACATGGTGGCTCACAACCATCTGTAATGAGGTCTGGTGCCCTCTTCTGGCCTTCAGGCATACATGTGGACAGAATATTGTATACATAATAAATAAATAATTTTTTTAAATGGGGCTAGGGAGCTCAGTGGATAAGAGCTTCTATCTCTGGGGCTCACTGGTTGTCGGTCTAGCTGCAGGTTCAGGCAGAGAGACCCTGTCTCAAGGTGTAAGTAAGGCAGAGAGTAATAGAGCAGGACATGTGATGTCCGCCTCTGACCTCTGCATGTATGTGTGTGTATGCACACGAGTGCACATGCACATACACATGTAGACACACACACAAGCATGTAAATATAAATAATAATAAAATGCAATTTAATAAATAATAAATAAAAAAATCTAAGTGTTACAGCACAGGTATGTAACTTCATCACATATGCTGTTGAGGCAAGAGGATCGCTGTGAGTTGAAGGCCAGTCTGGGCTACATGGCAAGATCCTGTATCAAAAAATGAATAAGTAGGAGCTGGAGAGATGGTTCGTTAGCTAAGAGTACTTGTTGCTGCTGCAGAAGACCAAGGTTCCATTCTCAGCCCTCACATGGGAGCCCACAACCATCTGTAACTCTAAGGGATCTGGTGCCCTCTTCTGGCCTCCAAAAGCACTGCATGCACACACATACACATAGACAAATACCTATACATATAAAAATAGTTAAACATTTAAAATAAGGTAAATAAATAATGAGCAAAAATTTTAGAAGGATGCTTAATACCAAAAGTAATAAATAAATAATAAATAGAAAGATTTTATCTGAGATTAAGAAAGTCTTTATATTGAGGTATGCGGGAGAGACTGACTTCCCTAACCTTCAGTCATCCATGAAGTTGCTGACAGAGCTTGGGGTCCACAGTTCCCTCTAACCTATTCCTTCCCCCATGTATCTGCATCCTGGCTCTCCCTGGGCTGTGATTTCACAGAGTGCAAGGCCAAGACTCCTGAATGGTCTGAGTATGGGGAGTAGAGCCACCTGTCGCTGTTCTGGTGAGGTCACCCTTCGCTCCTTCCAAGGAGCTTAGCAGCATCCCATGGCCTCTGAGCCTGGACAGAAAGCAGCTTCTGTGGTTTGTCACTCTAATAAAGACAGCTGTGCTCCGCTCTGCCTCAGCAGCCTTCTGTCTCATTCCAGGAACGCCAAGCTGTCATTGTCTCTGCCTGTCTGGAGCTTGGAAAATTGTAGTTGTCACGGCTGCTGTCGTCGTCATATTAGCTGCTGTCATCAACATCGTAGCTTCTTGCATCTTCATCATCAGGTGTTGTAAAAGAGGTGAGTGAGTGCCGGGCAGTGGTGGCGCACGCCTTTAATCTCAGCATTTGGGAAGCAAAGGCAGATAGATCTGTGAGTCTGAGGCCAGCCTGGTCTACAGAGCGAGTGTCAGGACAGACTCCAAAAGGTACAGAGAAACCCTGTCTCGAAAAAACAAAACAAACAAACAAACAAACAAACAAAAAACAGAAAAAAAAGAAAGAAGAGGAAAAAAGAAAAAGAGAAAAAAGAAAGAAAAAGAAGTGGTGAAAACTAGAGCAGTCTGTATATCCACGAGAAATAGTCATGTGCAGCTGTGTGTGTGTGTGTGTGTGTGTGTGTGTGTGTGCATGCACACACCACATATGTATAGCTAGGTGTCCAGAAATCAAAGCATTAGATGCCCTGGAGCTGGAATTACAGGTGGTTATGAGCTGCCTGACATAGGTACTGGAAACCAAACTGGGGTCTTCTGCGAGAGCAGTACTCATTCTTAACCTCTGAGCCACCTCTTCGGTCTCAGAAGAGGCAGTGTGCTTGACAAGGCTCAATTTTCTCACTGCAGATAGCCCCAAATAGTGTCAAAAGCAGCCTCTCAGGTTAAGGGGTCATGTTGGCAGGGAGCACCTTCCAGGGTGTCCCAGCCTGGAGCAAGGGACAGAGGGATGGGCAAAAGGGGCTTCTGAAATCCCCTCCCAAGCCAGAGGTTCAGAGGTGTTGCCAGGTTCTGTAAACACCAGTATGAATTTACTATGCATTTGAGACATTTCTTCTTCCATTTCCTTCTTCTTCCACTGCACCAGGGTGTCGAAGATCACCACATGTTTCAAAAGAGGAGACCCAGCTCTGTAAGTAGTGTGATGGGAATTCTTTGGATTTTTTTTGGGGGGGGGGTTAGAATCTCTTATAGCCCAGGCTAGCCTCACACTTGCTATTTAGATGAATATGACTTTGAAATTTAAAAAAGATTTTTTAAAAGTATGAAGTATGTGCATGGGGTCTGGAGAGATGGCTCAGAGGTTAAGTAAGAGCACTGGCTGTTCTTCCAGAGGTCCTGAGTTCAATTCCAGCAACCACACTGTGGTTCACAACCATCAGTAATAAGATCTGGCACCCTCTTCTGGCCTGCAGATATGCATGCAGACAGAACACTGTATATGTAATAAATAAATAGATCATTTTTATTTAAAAAATTATTTATTTATTTCTTTATTATGTATACAATATTCTGTCTGCGTGTATGTCTGCAGGCCAGAAGAGGGCACCAGACCTCATTACAGATGGTTGTGAGCCACCATGTGGTTGCTGGGAATTGAACTCAGGACCTTTGGAAGAGTAGGCAATGCTCTTAACCGCTGAGCCATCTCTCCAGCCCCTAAATAGATCATTTTTTTTAAAAAAAGTTATGTGCATGAGTTTTTCTCCATATATATATATATGTATATATATATTACATACATGCATACATACATATATATGCAGTATCTGTGGAGGCCAGAAGAGGGTGCTAGATCCCTTGGAACTGGAGTTACTGAACCATCCTGTGGATTCTGAGAACTAAACCCAGGCTCCCTGGAAGACCAGCCAGTGAATGTTTCTTAACACTGAGCCTGACCAAGAGTTTCTGACTCTCTTTCCTCCACCTTCAACACCAGTTTCCCAGGCTCTGTGGGTGCTATGCCTGCGTTCCCTTACTAAAAATTTATGATGGTGACCTATTGCTGAGTGCTTAGCTCTTGTTAGAGTGGCAAAGCAGTCCCAGAAAGCCAGGCAGGTGTGGGCATCCTGCATCCTGGGGTTTGGGTGGTGTTTGTGTCCTCTTTATCTGAGCTGAAGTCTGTGCTGGAAAGAGGCTAAAGTTCTTGTGGTTTTGACACCAAGTAGAAACTGAGGCACAGAAAATCAAAAGAAGATGTCTTGTTTTTATAAAAGACTGCCTGAACCCTAAGAGGGACACATGGATCGCCCTGGGAAGGGGAAATAGATGAGATCTCCTGGGTAAACTGGGGGCAGGGGGTAGAGAGGAGGGGATGGGAGATAGGTACATAAGGAAAGCAATTGGTCTGTCCAGTTGGGGCAGGGGTGGAGAGGGAGGGCAATGAAAGAGATATCTTGACAGAGGGGGCCATTATGGAGTTAGGGGAACCTGGTGCCAGGGGAACTTCCAAGAATACAGAAGAATGACCCCAGCTAAGACTCCTAGCAGTAGTGGAGAGGGGACCTGAACTGGTCTTCTCCTGTAATCAGATTGGTGACTACCCTAATTGTAACCATAGAACCTTCATCCAGTAACTGATGGAAGCAGATGCAGAGGTCCACAACCAAGCACTGGGCCAAGCTCCAAAACTCCAGTTGAAGAGAGGGAGGAGGAGACTATAGGAGCAAGAGGTGAGGGATCAAGATCATGCCAGGGAAACCCCCAGAGACAGTTGACCTGAGTTCATGGGAGCTCATGGACTCTGGACCAACAGCTAGGGAGCCTGATGGAGCTGTACTAGGCCCTCTGCATGTGGGTGACAGTTGTGTAGCTTGGTCTGTTTGTGGGAACCCTAGCAGTGGGACCAGTATCTGTCCCTGACACATGAGGTGGCCTTTTGGAACCTATTCCATATGGTGGGATGTTTCACTCAGCCTCCATGCAGGGAGGAGGAGGAGCTTGTTCTGCCTCAGCTTGATATGCCATGCTTTGTTGACTCCCATGAGAGGCCTTACCCTTTTTGAGAAGTGGATGGGTGCAGGTAGAAAGGAGGTATGAATGGAAAGAAAGGAGGGAAGAGAAGTAATGGTTGGTATGTAAAATAATTTTTTAAAACACAGCCAACTAATAACCAAAACCTACAAACAAAACCTAGACCATATATAAACTTTCCTTTAGAACCTTTCAATTTTCAAATATCAAAAATGCTAATTTTTGACACACATGATGGTACACACATCTTTGGTCCCTGCACTAGGAAGGCAGATCTCTGTGGCCTGGTACAGATCAAGTTCCAGGATGGCCAAGGCTGGCTACACAGATAAATCCTGCCTCGGAAAACCAAAAAAACCAACAAACAAACAAATCAAAAAAAATCTTAAGTTCCCTCCTCCCTTTCAGAAGCAAGCAGGAAATGTTCAGAGCAGCCCTGAGATTTTACTGTTGCCCACACTGGGCCTCAAGCCTAAATCTCACCTGGTGCTTGGAAACTCACAGGAAGAAAAAGAAAAAAGGAAAGAAGAAGAAAGGAAGGAAGGAAAATAAAAGGAACTGAGACACTGGGCTAAAGTCATTTACTTAGAATAAATTTTACTTGCCAAGAATGATTTGGAACAATGTCACTCTGAACTGAAAAATAGAAAAAAAAAAAAAACTCCAAGCTTTAAACCACAATTCCTATAAGGAAAGTCTATGTAATCAGGGACATGCAGGCTGGAATTCAGAATACAGAGTGAAGTTACATCTCCAAACACATTCTTTCTCTTCACCCAGAATACTGAGGATTTTATTTTTGTACTGAAAGAATAATATATTTAGAATACAAATTAGATATTCTATTTCAGATTTAAAAAGAACTTTAAAATTATGCCTATACTATTCTCTACAAGTACACCCTGTCTAAAAGTCTCTTCAGTACTTAAGACAATGCATGCTCTTTTATTCAAAAAAAAAAATCAAGAATTTCCAGACTTAAAGACTACAACAGAAAAAAATGTAATGACAGTCAAATGTCTGGGACAGGCCCAGCAAGCCTCTAGTTTGTTTGTTTGTTTGTTTGTCTGTTTGATAGAAGGGAGGTCTATGCGTGGTATTTACTCGTCTGGGGAGAGGGAGGGGGGGTTTTACTTGTGGAAAAGTCTGACAGGCCTGTAATTTTTTTCTTACTTATTCTCAGATAATGTCAAACCTACTCATCAGTAAGAATGATATGGAAGCAGATTTTCTTTTATTACTTTTTTCACTTATGATTCAGGTATAAACTAATACTTTTATTTTTATCTTACCACTTTCAGTATTTTTTTTACATTTTTTGTTGATATTTATTGAGCTCTACATATTTCTCTGCTCTTCTTCCTGCCTCTCCCTTTCCCCTTCAATCCTCCCCCAAGGTCACCATGCTCCCAATTTAGATCTTGTCTTTTTCTACTTTCTTTTTTTCTTTTTCTTTTTTAATATTTATTTATTTATTATGTATACAATATTCTGTCTGTGTGTATGCCTGCAGGCAAGAAGAGGGCACCAGACCTCATTACAGATGGTTGTGAGTCACCATGTGGTTGCTGGGAATTGAACTCAGGACCTTTGGAAGAGCAGGCAATGCTCTTAACCACTGAGCCATCTCCAGCCCCTTTATCTACTTTCTACTTCCTATGTAGATTAGATCTATGTAAGTCTCTCTTAGTGTCCTCATTGTTGTCTAAATTCTCTGGGATTGTGGTTTGTAGGCTGGCTTTCTTTGCTTTATGTTTAAAAACCACCTATGAGTGAGTACATATGATAATTGTCTTTCTGTGTCTGGGTTACCTCACTCAAAATAATGTTTTCTAGCTCCATCCATTTTCCTGCAAAATTCAAGATGTCCTTATTTTTTCTACTGTGTAGTACTCCATTATGTAAATGTGCCACATTTTCCTTATCCCTTCTTCGGTCGAGGGGCATTTAGGTTGTTTCCAGGTTCTGGCTATGACAAACAAAGCTGCTATGAACATAGTTAAGCACATGTAATTGTGGCACGATTGGGCATCCTTTGGATATATACCCAAAAGTGGTATTATTGGGTCTTGAGGAAGATTGTTTCCTAATTTTCTGAGAAATCGCCACTCTGACATCCAAAGGGATTGTAGCAGCTTGCACTCCCACCAGCAATGCAGAAGTGTTCCCTTTTCCCCACAACCTCTCCAGCACAAGCTGTCTTCAGTGTTTTTGATCTTGGCCATTCTTTCAGGTGTAAGATGGAATCTCAGAGTTGTTTTGATTTGCATTTCTCTCATGACTAAGGATGTTGAACATTTCCTTAAGTTTCTTTCCTAAAGTGTCTTTCAGCCGTTTTAGATTTCTCTTCTGAGAGTTCTCTGTTTAGGTCTGTACTCCATTTTTTTTATTGGATTATTTGTTCTTTTGGTGTCCAATTTCTTGAGTTCTTTGTATATTTTGGAGATCAGACCTCTGTCTGATGTGGGGTTAGTGAAGATCTTTTCCCATTCTGTAGGCTGTCATTTTGTCTTGTTGACTGTGTCCTTTGCTTTACTGAAGCTTTTCGGTGTCAGGAGGTCCCATTGATTAATTTTTTCTCTCAGTGTCTGTGCTGCTGGGGTTATATTTAGGAAGTGGTTCCCTGTGCCAATGCATTCAAGTATACTTCCCACTTTCTCTTCTATGAGGTTCAGTGTGACTGGCTTTATGTTGAGGTCTTTGATCCATTTGGACTTAAGTTTTGTGCATGGTGATAAATATAGGTCTATTTTCATTCTTCTACACATTGATATCCAGTTATGCCAGCACCACTTGTTAAATATGCTTTCTTTTTTCCATTTGATATTTTTTGCTTCCTTGTCAAAAATCAGGTGTTTGAAGATGTGTGGTTTGATATCCAGGTCATCTATTTGATTCCATTGATCCTCCTGTCTGTTTTTATGCCAATACCAGGCTGTTTTCAGTACTGTAGCTCTGTAGTAGAGTTTGAAGTCAGGGATTGTGATGCCTCCAGAAGTTCTTTTATTGTACAGGATAAAATTTTACTCAGTTTATCAAATACATATATGCTATCATACTGGCTACAAATATATGCATTTAGTATAATAGGCAATATATAGCATCAATATAATAGCATCAATCTGTAAACTTAAGTCCCCAAATGTAACAAATTCACCCGTTTTCTATCTGTATCACATAGCTACTTCATTTCTGTATTATGCACACCACATTCCATTTTAATTATAACATTCATCTACAAAAAAATTTAAAAAACAATTAAAAACTAAAAATAAACAAATAGATAAATTTTTAAAACTTAATAAGAAAAAAAGTATGTGGGCTCTTGTAACAGACAACTCCAAAGTAGGGCCAGCCCGCCAGGAAGGTACTGTCTTGCCATTCTAGCAGTTAGAAGGCCAAGCCTAGGTGTGTCGCAAGCCAGGTCTCTCAGTGGCTCAGAGGGTCGCTCCTTTCTTTCCAGCTTCTAGGAATTGCCAGTCCTTGGCTTAAGCTAGTCTGTCACCATCTTCAGATGGCCTTCTCCCTGCCTGACCAGTCCTTGGAGTGTGTTCTCACCCATACGAGCTTATTCAACTGAGGGAATAGTTGCAGTCAACAGGTCATGAGCCTATCTTTTAGAAGCCATAGGTCACTCAATTGCAGGCATGTCCTAGGAACTGGTCAGGCCCTGACTTCACATGGTATAGATCTCCCTGGCTTGCCTCCCAGATTGTGGCATCCCTTCTTCTCAGCCTGCCTTAGGTGGGACTTGCAAGGCACTGCCCTGAATGCTGGAGGCCTCAGCAGGGTAAGGAAGAACAGGGCCAGTCTACACAAACTATTCATCCTGAGCTTCTGGCCTCCCTAGAAGATACCAGAAGATCCTTCAAGAAGGAAGACTGGAGCCACGGTGTGCTTGGCTGCTCTCCATCCTGAGCAAAAGTTGGATAGTAGGTTAGTGACAGTCTTGATTGGCTCTGTCCCATCCTGGGTCTCCTGACCACTGGGGATTACTTGGGGACATAAGAAGCCTCTTATATCCTGAGATGCAGAATCCCAGAAATGCAGCAGCTTTCCTCCAGAATATTCCAGAAATATAAGTAGAATCTCTGTGAGTTCGAGGCCAGCCTGGTCTACAAGAGCTCGTTCCAGGACAGGCTCCAAAAACAACAGAGAAACCCTGTCTCGAAAAACCAAAACATAAAAAAAGGAAAACCTAACTTAACATGACTACAAGTTTGACTATTATAAATGACTACCTATTAATCTATATTTCTTAATTTTACATGAATTAAATGAAGTACACAAATACAATACCTTAAACAAGAAGAAATACATATACACAGTGTAACAAAATCGACCTTCAATTTGTATCAATAGACTAAGATCCATACCAAGGCAACGTATTCATCTCTAAATCATATTCCCCTTTAAATAAAAACAAACATTTATAAACAATCATGGAGACTTTTTGGAGGTCTTGTTCCAAAAAACCACATTAGCTTGGAAGTAATTGACAGGTTCTTGTCTTCTGTGGAAACAAAAGCAGAACCTCTTTTTTAAAGTAACATATCCTTAGACTCAAATTTTGAAGTCAAGATAGCTTTAAAATACATATGTTCGTTTAACTTAGCAGCCCCCAGAATCAAATGTCTCTCTGAAGTCAAAAAAAATCAAAGAAAACACAATAATATGCATAATTCAGATTCTCTGTGTATATTCCATCTTTACATGGCTCATTTTTCTTCACTCCTTTAATCTATGGCTGTACTCTTTTATATTACTTTTACTGTTTCTTTAAAGACTTTGCTTTATTTTCAAAACTATTTCTTTTTACAAATGTCTATACTCTTTTTCTTTTCTCTCCCAAGCCTACATGCATTTATCTAACACTGTGATCCATTCAGAGGTCTTTGTCATCTGAATCTGTCTTTATTGCATATCTGTAGTCATTTTCTCACCAGGAGAGCTTTTTTTCTTAAAAGCTAAGCAGACATGACTAGTACCAACTCTGTAGCCCTGCCTGTTTGTTCCACCCAGTCCAACATGGCAGAGGCATATTTACTTCCTCTGTGAGTCATGCACACCACCCCAGCTCCAGGATGCAACAGGACTATGTCATCATTAAGCAATTTGTAGCATGCTGCTCACAGACCCCATTTAAGTGCAGGACCTCCCAAAAGAGAGAGAGTTCTTTCTCCAGCACAAATCAGGAAGCCAGATCTTAAAGAAGCTGTTCAATTTTTTGCTGCTAACACTGAGTCAGGAAGACTTCTCTTAAAGGAGCTGTGCCTCTGCTTCCTGCCAACAAACAGAGTCTACCTGAAAAAAAAATGCAGCTACCAAGAAACTGTGCTTAACTCTGTTCTTTTGTGTCTAGAATTCCTTCCCAATCTCTCTCAGTTTTTATGTGGATGGAGTTGCCTCACATTGGCACATATTTGTAAACAGAGGCTGCTCATTCATTTCCTGGCCACCCAGACCCAAGTAATCAATCTCACAGAAACTATATTAACTACACCTTCACGATATAAGAGCTAGCTAGAAATATGCCTGAGTCATTGGCCTTTTCTATTCATCTGTGTATTACCACAAGGCTGTGGTTTACTGGAAAGGCTCCAGGTCCTTTTCCTTCGGCAGCTACATGGCATCTTCCTGATTCCACCTGTTTTCTCTCCATATCTCTGTGCAGATTTCCCACCTGGCTTTATTTTGCTAAGCCATTGGCCAAAACAGCTTTATTCATTAACCAACAAAAGCAACACATAGACAGAAGGACAGCCCACATTATTGATTTGGTTTTTTTTTTCCCCAGCCTCTAACACACTACAAAGTTCTAATGAGTAAACAGGTGGCATTCCTGAAGCTCACTGGATTTAAGGTCATTGATGTTCCTGAGCATGGACATAGAGGAAACAATGAACATGACAAGCTTGGGAGTGTTTGTGGAATGTTCCTTTACACGGTGTGAATATATGTTACTGTGATTTGTTTACTAAAGAAGCTGATTGGCCAATAGCTGGACAGGCAGAGGTTAGGCAGGAGAGTCAAACTAAGAATGCTGGGAAGAAGAGTGGAGTCTGGGAGTTGTGAGCAGACACAGAGAGAACAAGATGGGCATAAAGTGCTGAGAGATTTGCATTTCGCTGATCATTAAGGAGGTTGAACATGACCTTAAGTATCTTTTGGCCTTTGAACTTCGTCTGATGAGAATTCTCTTTTCAGTTTAGTATCCTATTTTTTAATTGGGTTAATTAGAATTTTCATATCCAGTTTCTTGAGTTCTTTATATATTTTGGAGATCAGACCTTTGTCTGATGCGGGGTTGGTGAAGATCTTCTCCCATTCAGTAGGATGCCTTTTTGTCTTAATGACAGTG